CCCGCCGTCCAGAATGTCAGAAGCCCCCCCGCCCCCACCCTCGCCCCCTTTGGGGGGACCACCTAAAACACGCCTGTCTGTCCGGCCGCCACGTTCGCCATAAGGTTCCCAAAAACAGCCGATGAAACGGACCCGTGACCCGCGGGGGGGCCTCTCACAGCGTCCACCAAGAGCTAGAAAATCAACCAGGTTTTCAGTAGAGGCTTAAGGAAATGTCTCCATCCCCCCCCCACCCCCTCCTTTGAAAATATTTTACTTATTGCCTCCCTCATGGTTGAATGTTTCTTTACCAATTTGCCCCTAATGCATGTTAAGTTGACTCCCACTGCTTTTGGTGTTCGAGGAGAAAACCGCCGAAGGGGGAGAGAGGATCAGTTTCACATGAGGGGCCCCGAGATATTTGGATCCCCTTGTATTTTATTGTTGCATCTGAGGGGGAACTAATACACTGTTGCGCACAAAACTTCCCCTGCGCCGAGGGGGAATTAATTAAGTGTGACACAGAAAAGGAGCGCGGCCGCTTTGGCCCCGGTGAACTTCAGCCGGCCGAGACGGCGACGAGAGAAACACGCCGGATCGACCGGATCAGTCGCAAATACAATTGTGTGTGTTTCACACGTTAGATTCAATCGATTAGCAGACAACATTTTAAGTTCTTTCCGTCGAGCAAAAGCAGGCGAGTATTGTGTGTTAAGATGTGAAGCTTGTCTGATCCAGGAAAATAAATCATTTCAACATTTCTGTAAAAATGTAAAAAAAACAGAAAATCATGAAGGTGGTTAATTAAACTTATTTTAGATGTTGTGTTACACATTAGCCTGTATTAATATGGATAATGTAATAATAAATGATTATCACATACACAATGAAGCTGCTTCAGAAAGTCTGAACACTTGTGACGAGACCGCAGGAGAAAAAAAGAATCTAAAAACTTCACCTGATTGAACAGTTTGTGCTTCATCCGAGCAGCCGGTCCTACTGTCCACACACACACACACACACACACACACACACACACACACACGCCCAAAGAAAGGCCCCTGGATCCAAATTTGCCTTTTGTGTGGCTTTTAATAGCCGGTCCCTCCCGCGGTGCCCTGGGGATCCGATCCACTGGGATTATTCCTCAGGCTCAGAATATCTTCTGAATGGAGGCCTGTTTGGCCACCAGAACACGAGGAGGACCGATGCGCCTTCTGGTGGCATCATTGACTGTGTGTGTGTGTGTGTGTGTGTGTGTGTGTGTGGGGAGAAAGAAAACAACACACGTGGCGTGTGGTGAAGACTGGGTGGTGATAATTGGGTTTCAACCGGGAAAAAAAACAAAAATCCTCATCCCGGCGTCTTCTCTGGTCTCTCTTTGAGCAGCGAGTCACTCGGACGAGGGTTCGGACGTGGAGTCGGAGCCCGACCTGCCGCTCAAGAGGAAGCAGCGGCGCAGCCGCACCACCTTCACGGCGGAGCAGCTGGAGGAGCTGGAGAGGGCCTTCGAGAGGACCCACTACCCCGACATCTACACCAGGGAGGAGCTGGCCCAGAGGGCCAAGCTCACCGAGGCCCGGGTCCAGGTACGGGGACGCCGCGCGCGCTGCACCCGCTGCACCCGCTGCACGCCGACATCACGCCGACATCACGCACACGTACCTTCCAAGGACGAGCTAGAAGCAGATTTGCGCTCGTGAAACACAGGAATTCCTCTGACGGATTTGGGGGCAGGATTTTATAAGCAGGCGGGTTGTGAGTTTGACCTCGGCTTTACGGGGAAGCGTGAACGCCTTCAAAAAACGAACGTGTTTACAAGATGGCGGCAACGCTCCCCTCGCACTCTCACTTCTGTCTGACCTCACACACTCAGTGAGCCACACACACGCCGTTACACCTCGTGCTTTTATACACACACAAACACACACACACACACACGCTACTCCTCGTTCACACTCCCAGGGGCCCATTCTGGTCTTTTCCCAGTTCTGATCTGGAGTCCAGTAAATTCCCCATATGGGAAGTGTAAGCAGGCCCAGCATGAGACCCGTCCATATGGGCGAGGCATGTCAATGCTAACACACACACACACACAGACACACACGCACACAATGTGTGTTTCATCACACGTGTGAGAGTGAACAGCGCGTGTAAATGTGTGTTTATCATTGGAACACGTGTAATGTCACACAGTAGCGGATCGTGTTGTACTTCTTTTTGTGTGTACGCACACACACACACGCACACACACAGACACACACACACACAGACACACACACACACAGACACCCGCTCTGAACAAAGTCGTCGTCGTCCCTGCAGGTCTGGTTCAGCAACAGGCGGGCGAGGTGGAGGAAGCAAGCGGGGGCCAGTCAGCTGATGGCGTTTAATCACCTGATCCCGGGAGGGTTCCCGCCTTCGGCCATGTCCGGCATCGCCCCCTACCAGCTGTCTGACAGCCCGTACCCCCCCGCGGCCATCGCACCAGGTACGGGACCCAGTGATGCCGTCAAAGGTGTTCTTTCTACCAGCGCGGGGGGCAAATCATATGTTTACTATATAGTTACAGCTCTGCTTTTTTTAGTCGTATTTAATTAAAAACATAGTTTTTTTATCCAAAGCGACTTACTTTGCATTTTCAACTTTTTACATTTGCCCGGTGAGCAATTGCTCAGCGACACTCCGACATGGTTTTGGTTTTAGTTGCCACCAAACGAGCAGTGCTGCCGTTTTTCACTGCATTCACTCACAAAGTGCGTCAAACCTCCCGCAGAGCCCCCCAGCACGCTGCACCGCCCCCAGCCCCTCCCGCCTTCCTCGGGCCACCAGGCCGGCATCGGCGGAGGGCAGGTGGAAGGAGGCTCGGCCTACTGCCTGGCCTCCGGGCGCCACTCCTTCTCAGGCTACTCGGACGGCTTCGTGAGCGCCGGAGGACCGGCCAATCCCATGAACGCCGCCATCGGGAACGGGCTGCCCCCCCAGGTGAGACCGCGGACCGGGTTCCGCGTGCGTTCGAGCGGCTTCAAGTCCGCCTTTGACCCCCTTTTTCAAGCCTCCATGAAACTGACGTGGTTTTAACCTTTAGCGGGTATCACGCCACAGCTTCAGATCAGATGTGGTCATGATTTATGAGGGGGGGACGCAGGGGGGACGCGGGGAACAGGCAGAAAACGAGCTTCCGTCCGCTCAGCGAGCAGGCCGCCGCGGTTCGAGGTCGGAGACGTTGTCTCACGCGCTCGCGCTGGAGATGATTGATCAACTCCATGACGCTTTGAGGATCAGTTAAGGATTTCGCAACATCCTTCACGCGGATATGACACGACGTGGTCGAGCGGCGTGGCTAAGTCAGCCTGTCAGCCGACTCTTTAGGCGGGAAGATTGATTACGGTATTTAAAAAAAAAAAAGATCACGTCCAGAACCAACACGAGCAACTTCTATTCACAGATAAGTTCACGCTATTATTTATTATATATATATATATATATATATTATATAACTTTGGTCCTGTTTGGGTGAATAAGCGAGGAGGAACCCCTCCTCGTGCTCTTGCGTCTGCACCTGCTGCACGCACGAGACGTGGCGTCCTCGCCGTCTCGCCCCTGGTGATTGCATCCGTAAGATGTTTTCCTCGACATTCCTCCACCACGAAGCTCTGGAGCTCTAATTTGCCTGCGTGCGTTTAAAGGAACATTCCCACATTCCCTCTCAGTGCTGGACGCACTGATCCGGGGCCGGCGGCGGCGGCGGCGGCGGGTCCAGTGTGAGACGTCCAGCGGGCAGAGGGGGACCTTTGGCTTTGGGCTAAAGGGACCGAACTACAATGCGTCACTTTAAAGAGTAGCCCCCCCCCCCCCCCCCGAAAGAACCACCCCTCCAAGGGGGTCCTTTTTTCCAAAACCTCACTCGCTTCGTGAACCCTTCCAAACGCAGATTATTTTTTCTTACTCCCCTCGCCAAAACAACATGGACTCCTCCATTCTCCCCCCCCCCCACCCCCCTACTTGGGAAATGATTTAAGCAGGACCACATGCACGCGTGGATGTGGAATAATGTGTCACTTAGAGGAGCCAAGGAGCTGTGTACCTGCTTCCTATTAGGACGACTGGAGGAGCCTGGAGGCCTTTGCTCGGCGGGGAAAAGGAGGCGGGACGCGATGCGTTCGGAGGCAGCAGATCCAGTTAGAGTTTTCTTCCACAAGTGATAAAGCCGGTCTCGATTTCTGATTAGCGGTTTCCTGAGCGCTTTGATGGCGGACAGGTAAAGCCTGAGAGCGTTGGAGGGGGTTGGAGACGGGGGGGGGGGTTAGTGTGTCTTTCAAAAGTAGTTTAAACACTTCGCCCCGCGGGCTCTTTCCCGTCCTTCGCCGGCCAACGAAATATTCCCCCAAATCTGATTATCCGCTCGCTAATAAAGACCAGGTCAAGAGCTGACTGCTGAATCTACTCGGACAGTTTGAACGCAGCCCGAGCTCCACACAGGCCTTTCCTTTGTGTTATCTCTGCCACCATATCGCCCCCCCCCCCGGATAACGAGATGAGTCGTTATCTTGTGCCGTGGGTTTTTTGGAGCAGCGTCAAAAGGGAATTTTGGAGTAAGTGGACGTGAGACAAATTGCTTAATTCTTCCTCTGTGGTGCTATCTCTGTGTGGGAGGGGCTCTTTGGTGCTGGTCTCGACGTCTGCCCCCCTCGTAGACCAAAAAATGAGTTATTTAATATTATTTATAATAATATTAAATTATATTATAATAAATAATTAATAAATATAATAATAAATAATATAATAATATATAATTATTAATAATTATTATATATATTATTATATATTTTAATTATTAATAAATAAATAAATAATATATAATATATTTTAGGGCCTTGTCAGTAGTCCACCCCCCCTTCCCCCCTTCTTTCCCCCCAGAAAGTCTCTTAACTCCTTTCCTTGCTCCCGTCAGGTGATGGGTCTGCTGAACCCGGGCGGCGTGCCGCATCAGCCCCAAAGCGACTACGCCATCTCGCCGCTGACGGGCGGCCTGGAGCCCCCCGCCGGCATGGCCGCCAGCTGCAGCCAGCGCATGGATCACATCAAGGGCCTGGAGGGTCTCACCAGCGTCCCCTCCATGTCGGCCCTGCCCTCCCTGCCCAGCTCCCAGTCCTACTGCCCCCCCTCCTACAGCTCCCCGGGCTACACCGTGGACCACATGGCGTCCTACCAGTACGGCCAGTACGGACAAAGTAAGGTCAATAGACTCCGCCTTTTTTCATTCTGGCCTTCCGCTTCCAATTTCACATCCGCGAGAACCCGTTGAAAATGAGTGAACTTCCGTTCACTCATTTACTAAAAGGAAAAGAGATTCACGGAGCTGTTGCTGAAATGAGTTCATTAAAATATGTTGCATCATAAAAAAGACACAAAACGCTGCAGATGAAACTGCTGTCGTTCCTTAAATAGATAAACGTTGTTCTGATTGGTCGCGGTGGGACAAATTGCACTATACTTGATTCCGTGGGCATTAAATACTTTTATTTGATACTGATAGCGGAGAGAGACAGGAAATGTTTTAGTCATTTTTATTGTCAAAGTGAGATACGATTAATGACTTTTTCTTTATCCCTCTCTTATACTTCTTCATGCTAAATTTACTGAATGGGGGAAACGCCGTGGAAACGGAGAAATGCGGCTTTGTGGTGACGTTAGTGAAGCTAAAATGTAGCCAGATGTTTTTGTTTTTGAATATAGGATCATTTCCGGTGCAAACCGTGTTGTAGAAATGTTTCATGGGGAACTTATTTCAGGTGGAAACACGGTGTGTGATTATGGGCCGACGCGTCACTAACAAAAGAAAGAAAGAAAGCAGCAAAACACTCGTTAAAGGCCGCTGACACTTTACGTCGTCCAATCACGCGGCCTCGAGTGTTCTGGCCCCGGCGCTGGTACCGGTACTGGTACTGGCGCTGGTCGGCTTGCGTCAGGCTGAGGCGTCGCTCCACTGGTGGCTGATGGTCCTCCTCTTTACGGGGTCACTTCACATCGGTTCCCCTTGGGGGGGCTTCAAATCAACTTCAAACCAAACCCCCACCGCCGGGCCTCCGTCACGGCGTGATTACAGCGCGGCCCACAGGGGGGTTCCACCAATCAGGTTCACCCGGCGACCTCTCGCCGACCTCGGGACACGAGCCCGGCGCCCCTCGGAGGGCGCGGCGTCGGTTTCCAGCGGGTCGGACCGAGCGGCTCCGCGTGCGTCCAACGGATATCTGACTTAATATCCGCGAGCGGCCAAACGTCTGATGAAATATCTCGGTCGGATATCTCGCTGTGAACAGAACACAGAATTAGTGCGACACGCACGCACGCACACGCGCGCTCAGAGGCCGCCACCAGGGCGGCACACGTGCACCGACACCCCGTCCCATTTTGATGTGATTAATCAGTGGGACGGGATAGCCGGTGTGGGGTTGGCTGGGGGGGGGGGGGGGGGCGGATCCTGATCGCCTCTGGCAGGGTCGGCGATTAGAAACAGGTGCTGGGGCCGAGGTCAGCTGGGGAGGCACGCCGCCGCGACCGCCGCGGCCCTGCCGCTGAGCGCGGCGTGCCGTGGCCTGTTTTTGTTGTTGTTGTTGTTGTTGTAGTCTTTCCGTTTGGAGACACCGGTTTGACCTCTCGGGACAAACCAGAGGATGGAGCATCCGGTACTGTTCGTTTGGTGGCACCTGAACAACAACAAACACATTTGTTTCATTTGTTGGTAATTTCCATATTTTGTCACCATCAACAGTTTGTGGGAAAAGGAAGTTTCCACTTCAAAGCTCTGCTTTGTATTTGAATATATGTATTTTAACCAGCTTAACATTAATATTGTTTTTATTGTTTATATCTTAAACGTCGAGGTTGTGGGACTAAAATCAATAAAGCCCAGGTCAACAAATGACATTATTAATAATTGTTTAATTCTAATGGTATAAGATAATGGGTAGATGATGGATTCATTCAGTATTTTGACTAAACATTTTTAAATATTCCCGCTTAATTTCTTATATTATATAGAGGTGTAGAATATAAATAAGTCAGAAACACGGGCCAGCAGCGTAGAAGAAGCTTTAAAACGGTGTCAGGAGCACTTAGATGAATACGGCCCAACCTTCCTTGGGGGGCGGGACTCGAGTACGACGTCGCCCTCAACACGCACATGATGCACGTCAAGATTCTGAGCTCCTGAGTGTAAAAACAAAACGCTGCTATTTGACCTTACGCCCCCGAACCGCTGCTAGCACATGCTATGCTAACAATAGCCACATGTGAGCGGAATGTCACGCCAAAACATGTGCACAAAAGTTATTGCGGCTATATATCTCTTTTATCATCTCTGCACCGTATTCTTTTCAAATCCCCTCTCACCAATAACTTAACGATCATCTCGTGGCTTCTCTTTTCGCAGGTGCCATTTCTTATCTGAGGCCCGAGATCACCTGATCCGCAGCGGAGGGAATCCTTCAATTACTGGACCAAAATATATTTTGCTACAATTTACCGGGACGCATTCTCTCTCTTGCAGGACTTTTTTTTATTTCTATTATTCATTGTTGTCGGAGAAATGGACAAAAAAAAAGAAAGAAAGAAGAAAAACAAAAAAGAAGGGACCACAAGAAGGAATATCAGACCAAAAAAACTGTTGATCGACTGTGAGCGTGAGACGCCAGCGCATAACGCGTGGGGGCGGGTCTCCCCCCTCCCACCCCCCACGGTGGACCCTCCGCAGCCCACTACAGTGACCAAAGTGATCCTTGTGAGGACAGCGGACCCCAAATGTCTCCGTCACAATCTGCCAGCCGTGAAAATTGTTTACACGTCTTAAAGCCCCACGAGTACAAATCCTCAAGGACCCGCTGCACCCGCCTGGGGGGAGGGGGGGGGGGGGGGGGGAAAAAGGCCCCCCTCATTTCTCTCCTCGCGTTATTTTGAGAAAAAGAAAAAGGGAGCCAACAAGTCTGTGGGGTTTTATCACAAACTCCTAATGTACACCACAGCTGTACGGTGGGGGAAATTTCCCCCCCCTGTCTTTCTACTATCATCGACACAAGGGGCCCTATTGTGCATAGACATGGGAGATATGAGATAATCACACCTTATCTGAGACAAGAGGGCGGCAGTTACTGTCACCTTTGCTATCTCACCGCTCCTCTCCCCACGCATTATCTGGGACACTTATGAGGATATCCAGAGCAATCAAATGCTTGAA